CCTGTACCCCTTAACGGATTGTTCCGACCCTGTTTTTAACGGCGTTCGTGTATTTTGGGTATCTCGAGACCTAAGTATGGGAACGTTCTTTTTTTCTAGAGTGGGGGGATATTTTGGTAGTAGCCTTTAAGCTGTAACGGGTTCTAGTCTCATGTCGCAAGCGAACCGAATTGGCTCCGACCGTTCTTGAGCTAGAAAAACACAAGAGATAGTGTCCCTGACTCTTGAGCCAATGGTTATAGGGCCTATTTTTCTTAAGCCTCATATGTGACCGAAGTAGGCGACTGTTTCAGTAGAACTTTTTATCAAAAGCAAGAAGCATAAGCTTGCGATTATTAATAAGCTTCTTGTGGTCAATTTTTTTTCGACAAACCTGTTTCTTAAATTTGTTTGGAAGCAATTAATTCCAAATCTTGTCCACATGCTTTCGTTCCTGACAGAATGATAGAAATAGAAATTGATAGAAAACGTTTAAATTACAATGAAAACTTGAAATTTATGCCATTTGGGAAAAGTTTCCATTTTTATGCCATTTGGGAGTTATGCCATTTGGGAAGTTACCATGAGAAGACCGGTTTTAAGGGGGTATTCTCTTTATGCACCTGCGCTATAACTCAAGAATCGAAAAATTCTGGCTAAAACAAAAAATATTGAAATAACTCACATGTTAGCATGAAACTAGCGGCAAAACGAAATTGTTAAAACAAAAAAGGTGAAAACTCTCAGAAATTTGTGACTAAATGATTACAATTGTTGCATTATAGTTGTTATATCATTTCAGTAATATTTGTGAAGTTGTGATTGGTTGAATTTTTTTTTAATTTTTGAAAAAATGAGGTGTATGATGTGTCTTCGATCATTTTGTACAACTAGTTTAGATTTTTAAAACCTGAAGATGCACCAAAATATGCGAAAACGTTTGTTTGAATATACAATTTTAACGCATTCTCAAAATATTTGTCAAAGTTACTTAATGCGTTGACAGTTCTCAGACATCATAAATTAGCAATGAACTTTGCCAAACTAGTTCAAGTTATGATCTCTTCAGTTTACTAACAAGGAAACTTCCGGCCCCAGCACAAAATTTTTTTGAGCAAGCTTTGTACGAACCTAAGCTTTCTACGAACCTCTCTGGCAATACATATTGCGAACGCCGCTTGCGAACTTTGAACAATAAATGACAAAACTTTCGGCGAAATTTTTTATTTGTAACACAATTACAATTGTATTTTATATTTTGTCGTGTCGAGTTGCGTGTTCTTATAGAAGAAACGTTATACGTATCGAGTTTAATTGTAAGGACAACACTGATCATCTCGTTTTTTTCATAATTACTTCCATATCTAGGATTACGACTGAAGTACGTGATGAAGGGATTCCTGACTGTAACCTCGGTTACTATGATAGTTTTGATCTTCTGATTATATTGAAATTAGGTAACTCTGTTTTGGACGATCATTTTCAGTCTTTTTGTAATTAACCAATTGGCACATCCCCATGTTACTGAAAATGGTTATGCAGCCAAAAATGTATCGAGTGGTTAGATTTTCTGGTTATGATGTTACCACCTCAAAGCGCTGTGCAAAACTCATCTTTTATTATTCGATCTTCCAGTTGCTTGTGTGGTCAAGAAGGATAGACTTTTTAGGCGTATTGGCTACAGGGACAAAACATTCTTCTCCTTTTTTATACCTCAATCTGTCAGCTGTCAGAGCCAATACTTGTATTGTTTGAACATGCTTTTTGAGAATCTTTGAGCATCAAAGTCTCAACCAAAATAATAACACTTCAATTAGGAAAAAATACATTGGAAACATAGGTAAGTCTCGAAGAAATTGGATCGCGCAAATGCCAATAAAAACAGAGTTAGGAACCTCTTCTTGTTTTAAGGAGTTTGCGTTTCATTCTTTTCAGATGGATTAACCGGAAACTTGCTTTTCATTTTCAAAATCAGTTTGAAATAAGTAGACTAAGTATCTAAAGTCGTACGGAATGACCCTTTTGTATGCTCCACTTAATGAATCTTCTTGGACATATAGCTTGAAAACAAGCACAAAAAATTAAACTTCAGTTAATTCAGAAAACTATAAAATCCTGACGCAACCAACAATTACAAAATGGACTGAGTCCGAGGAATGTAAAGAAGCACCAAATGATGGAAAAATGTTACAAACTTAACAAAAAAACTTATAGATAAGAATATAAAATGAAGCACTTAATGAACGTTTCCGGGCGGGTTACGCGCTATAATTGCACGAGCTGTTGCTCTGGCCAGCTGCAGTCCTAGTCTTTTGAACATTTCTTTGCTTGTTTTGCTCAGTTTGACGAGTTTGTATGGCAATTCTGCGAGCAATGCGGCCGAGGGTTTCTTGTCCTTCTTCCCCCAACGATCCATAATGTGTAACAGCAACTGGTAGGCAGAGCCAATTGAGTTCTTCGCATTTCGTGTCATTTTCTTCGTGTTTTCTGCTTTCAGCGGACTGTAGGCAATGTCCGGGAGTAGAACTCGCTCCGTCTATTAGGGTTGGATTAAGCCGGAGTATACTGACACGTCAATTGCCCCTGACTAGCCTAGAGACCAAACGGAGATGAGAACGTCGCGGGCCTTGTGAGGCTTCCTGCTTAGTCCAGACTGGCCCCCTGCTCAAGCGCTGGATTCAGCATCCCCATGCGTGCGCAGTCGAATGTTGTGTTTCGCAGTATGTTGTGTCTTGAGATGACGACCGGGCCTCGCCGAGCGCGGAAACTGAGAAACCCAACTTCAGCTTGACCAGGGTTTGCACTTCTTCAGCTTCAAGACGCAGACCTAGCGCTGGCGAAGGTACGCATGTCATCCAGTCCGATGCGTGCAGTGCCGAGGTTTCCATAAGTCTAACTTTTTCAGATGGAAGAGAGACATGCTCAAGCAAGAGTCTGAAACTGTTTTCTTCTATCGCGGAAGAAAGAGAATGTTTTCGGTTGGCGCTACGGGCGCTGTCTTGAGTCAGTTGGTCAGCGTCAGCAACGTGGCTGTTGTAATCAGCTATGCTGATGTCAATGTCTGCATGTGCGTTGGCTGCTGCAACTGATGATATGTAGGCAGCGGCTGCGTGTGTTCTTAGTGAACGGAGCCCTAATCCTCCGTACTTCAGGGAGAGACGAGCTTGCTCTTTGGATTGATCGTTGAGTTCAATGGAGACCGATTCTTCGAGGCAAGAAAGGACCGCTTCCTCATAAATTTCCAATGCGTTGGCGATTTTTTCGGTTGGGCAACATCCTGTCAGATGAACCAACTTGCAGAACCCGGCTCATTGTCGCTGAAGAGTGAGCGCGGCTTGAGAGTCATGGAGAGGTGGCATGACTCTGTGAGTTCATGGCAGAACGCTGTGAGTTCATGGCAGAACTCATCGCTTCCAATCGGAGCGCCCAGGACCTCCATGTTGGGGGTATCGTATTTTTTGATATCTTCAGGGAACATTGATTTGTCGAGTCTGCAGTACACTTCGCATTTGCTGACTTTCACCTCTAGACCCGTCCACTGGGATGCTTCACGGATTGTTCCAAGGCATTCGTTCAAAGCATGCCTCGTGCCGTACAAGATGCCGTCATCCAAGTACCAGAGGTTGGCCAGAAGGCCCTCCTGAGAATCGATTCTGATGACGAGTTTGTGTAGGGCTACAGCGAGCAGGAGGGGGCCTCAAGGATTCACCTTGATGTACGCCTGTTTCTGAGAGAAGAGTGCCCAATGTGTGGCACAACAGGATAAGAGTGATAGCAGAACTTCACCCACGGGAGCAGTTCAGGGAAGTGCGTGGCGACTGCATCAAACATAGCTTGTCTGGATATGACGTTGAATGCATTTTTTCATGCATATGGTGTTGAATGCATAAAACTTCAAGTAAATTTTTGGCTTGTTCTTTGACAAGCTTTTGTAGTCTTTAATTTTGTTTGTAAGAGTCCTTTAGTTGTTTGTTTAAGTCGTTAATATACAAATTAAGTATCGGAGGTCATAATACGGTGCCCTGTGTGGACACCTTTATATAATGAAATCCAAGCTAAGTTCCTTATTGTTGACAATCGTTTTCTATAGACGGCTGCTGATAAAAGAGTTTATCATTGCAATTGCATCTTCAGGAAAGTTCAAATTTTAAGTTTTTGTTGCAGAAACTTAAAATCAAGAGAGTCAAACGCTTTGGAAAGATCTACTAACGAGCGAACAACAAATTTATTGCTGTCAATTGATTTTCTAAATTGTTGAATAGGAGGCTCTGAATCCGAATTGAGTGTTGCTTAATAAATTTTGCAATAAAAGATAACACTCATTTTGGTGTTATCTTTTATTGACTTGAGTGTTATCTTTTTTTTCTAGTGTTATTGATTTGAGTGTAATCAAAACAAGTCTGGTCCAAGAAACTAATGGTAAACATAACGGACGATGCAAGTTAGAGCAAAAACATTCGTTTGTTTTTTAAATTAAATTTAATTGATGACTTTTAGTGATTTTAAACAAATAATGTCTTATGCTCTTATGTGTTTGAGTACGATTAAGTCGTAAAAACTCAAATTTTTATAGGTTAAATTTTTTTTGGTTAAGTTTCATTTTCGACCCTTCAGCTGTCGAAACATTTTTTTTCGGCTGAGAAAAAGATACAAGTATCAATGTTTGAACGTTTTCGTCAGTTAAGACATCATCAGAACAACTGAAAGAAAAAACAACAAACATCGTAAACAATAAAAACCACATAAAATCAGAGAATAAAAAAGCAAAATTTGAGATAACATAAAACGTTAAAAGAACAATTAGATTAAAGCGCAGCAACCTTTTTCGGCTGAGTTGCTGCTCGGTAATCGACTTTTTTTCATGTAATTTTTGAAACTTTTTTTTCAACAGAAATCCGACTTTCGTCTTTTTTCTTGTTACCGTCTTGTAACGCAATGGTTTTGTAGTATCGCAAGTGTTGCGAAGCTCTGCTTTGCTTCATTGTGAAATTTGAAGCTTGCTATAATCGAATCTTCTTTTCAGATGGAGTTAGAAGTTGGCGAGGAGACTATTTACTCGCTCCCAATGGACGAGACATATTTCTGCTGCGAAGAATGTGGAACTATTTTTGAAACTTTAGAACACGTGAGTATTAGTTCAAATCTATGTCCTAAAGCTTTGTTTTTGTTTCTTAATTTTTTCTCAGTGATACGACAGTGAGAATCGAGACAGTGAGTATCTCAGACTAGTTTTGATTGAAGCCGCTCAAATTACAAAATTCACTGCATGGTGTGATGAGATTTTTTTGATACTTATCTGTGTTTTCATAATCGGAAAATTTTGCATGTCGCAGCAAATTTTCTTTGAGAAAAAAAAACAGCTGATGTAACAGGAGTGATGGTTAAAGTAGCTTTTAACCTTACGGGAGCAAGTTGGCTTTTAACCTTACGAGAGCAAGTGCCTTACCATTTCTAGAATGAGATTATGTGCACATGGCATTTATGTTATGATAGTGAAAATTGCCGCATTATCTGGACAACATTCTAGTACAAGAACTGGGATGCACAGATTTCCAGTTTACTGAGAAACGAAAACAACAGCAAAGACAAGTTATTTTTTTTTCGTTTAAAACTTCTCTCTGTATTTATTAATATCTTTATGGAGGTAACGCCCTTGTTTTTGTCAGAAGAGTTCAGCAATTTGAGTACAGGTTGAAAATTTTTAGCAAAAAGCGTCGTTTTAGTTTTATACACAGGTAATATCTTAAAACACGAAATTTTTTAATTCAATTGAAATTAGAAGAGAATTCAAAAACTAGTATATGTCAAATAAAATTGTCACTGTATAAATAACGATAAACAACGATTTTTATTTTTCTTTTGTTTTTCTGGATGTCAATATGTCATCTGAGGATATACTTTCTTGAATTTTATTCCAAATGGTTGCTGATCTTTTGAAAAAGAATTTCCTATATGTTGACCGTTATATCTTTCTACAATCAATAGCTGTTTTGTTGTCAGGTTTGGGTCATTTTCAGTTTGTGTATCTGATTTTTGCATATGCTGGCAGTTGTATACTTTCTTCCAACAATTGCAAGCCAGTTTCCAATCAAGAAATGGAACTGGTTAATGATTATATTTCATTTTCAAGTTAAATGATGAACCAAATTTTGCCCGATTGCAGCATGTTTTATTGCCCAATCTATTATATATTTAAATGCGGGCTTCACTATCTCGCTATGTTTAAGCTTTTTCAACGTATTATTTTTGCATGTTTAAGCTGTATCGTATATTGCAATCTATTATCTATTATATATTTAAATGCGGGCTTCACTATCTCGCTATGTTTAAGCTTTTTCAACGTATTATTTTTGCATGTTTAAGCTGTATCGTATATTGCAATGTTTAAGAATTTTTTTTCGATTTTCCCATTTGATTTTAGTGGTTATTTTACCGAGTTTAAATTCAGCAGCCCAATATCGAATTAGGGGTTGCGAATTTGGCCTCCATTTTTGAATGCTCGAATCATTTTAGCTAACGACATAAGACGATTTTTGAGATTTTTTCAAAAATTTTTTCAGAAATTTCAAATAACAAAATAATTTACAAAACTTGAAGTTCCCAACCCTGTAGTTTGGTGCTGTCAGAGTACTCGAAGGAGTTACAAATCTTGCCCCCAAATATGACTGTTTAAATCCTTGTATTTTTCGAGATATGACGTTTTTTGTGATTTTTTTCAAAAAAATTTCAGAAAATTTATATTATTTTTTTTGCAAAATCTGAAATTCCCAACCCGGTAGTTGGGTCCTGTCAGAGTAATCTCAAAGATTGCGAATCTTGCCTCCAAATATGACTGCTCAATTCTTTTTAGTTTTCGAGATATGACGTTTTTTGTGATTTTTTCAAAAATTTTCAGAAAACCTAAATTATTATTAGTTTTTAAAAATCTGAAATTCCCAACCCTGTAGTTAGGTGCTGTCAGATTACTCTCAAAGATTGCGAATCTTGCCTCCAAGTATGACTGCTCAATTCTTTGTAGTTTCCGAGATGTGACGTTTTTTGTGATTTTTTCAGAAAGTTTAAATAATTTATTTTTCAAAATTTGAAATTCCCAACGCTATATTTCGGTGTTGTCAGGGTACTCGAAATAGTTGCAAATTGTGCCACATGCGAATGCTAAACGCGACTGCTCAAATGCTTTTACTTTCCGAGATGTGACGTTTTTGGATTTTTTCAAAATTTCTCAAAGAACTTATCTACAAAGAAATTTAAAAAGTTTGAAACTACTAACATGATGAAGATACAACCTTATTGTCAGCGTATAACCGGTCGTCTCAAATCTTGCCTCCTAAAATGAATGCTCAAATCCTTTTAGTTTCCGAGATAAGACGTTTTTTCAATTTTTTTCGGAAAATTGGGTTTGAAAAAATTCACAAAATTTTGGATTCCTAACCCTATAGTAGGGTGCTCTCAGTGGTTGCAAATCGGGCCTCCAAATTTCTCCAGAGGTCCATTAAGTTTTCGAGATGACGCTTTCAAAAAAAGAAATTAAAAACTTTTTAAAAGTTCGAAATTACCAATGTTGTTTCCAATATATGCGGTTTTTCATGAGTTGTCGAAAAATTTCGAAGCACCGAAGGTGCGTTAAACGCTAGTTTAGTTGAAATTCCGCTTAAAAGAAGGGACTGGTCTAAAAAGTAAAAGTCAAGAACTTTTATAAGCTAATCGGTGAAAACAAATATTAGAATTGTCAATATTACCTAAGAAACGAATAGATGAAGCATAAATTGAGTAAGTTGAGCAATATCAAATTACATTTAAGAAAAAATTTTAATGTATAGTTTGTTCTTTCCCTTGGCAGGGTTGACTATTCCAATCATTGTTTTTTATCGATTACCTCGTATAAATCAACGTTTGTCTGTTTTTCTGCTGTTTGACCCTTTCTGCTCTTAGAATATTCTGCTCATTGGTTGGCCACCACTTATGACGAGCGCATTCATTAGCAATATACTTGTTTTAAATGGTTGTGGGTTTTTGATTGATTGATTGAAGCATTTAAATTCCACGAACCATTTTTCGTAAAAGCATCGTCACTTCTTGGAATGTTAAATACTGGTCTAAAACAACTCCGAGATACTTAACATTTGCTTTTTCCATCTCAACATATCTGTAAAATGATTTATTAAATTATCAGCTAGCGTAAAAGAGTATTTTTCCTCATTTTTGCGTAATTTAGTTTTTCTGTCTGAATATAAAAATTTCATTTTCTTAGCATTCAATTTAAAAAAAATGCAATTCGAAATATTCTGATATTTTTCTACAGCTTTTTTTTCAATTTTTGTAGCGCTACCGGCACATCTTGATGTTCACAAAAGATGAGTGTGTCGTCAGCGTATTGCACAATTTAACAGGAGTGGGACAATTGTTTGTTAATGTCCTTTATTACGCTTGCGATAAGCAAGCGTTATCAAACTGGAATATAGACTTTTTCCGGGTTAATAACTTGTTTTACAGAATCACTTGTATCTTGGTTCATAAATAATTCAAATTTCGTAGTTTATCCCGCACACCTAGCCTGGTGGTTACAAATACGCCTAGAATAGCAAAAGTCGTGGGTTCGAATCTGACCAGGAACTTTTTTTAAACTGGAAATCTCGCTTTCCAAACGTAAATCGGCCTATAGTTTGTCTGCTTATGTTTTGTCGCTTAATTGCCGCATCGTAGAATTGTTGTCTTTACACGCAATTTTTAATGTAGATGCTTTCAGCGTTTTGAATTACTTCTGCAATTTAATAGCCTTTACTTCGTATGTTTTGTTTTTTTTTTCGATTTTTTGCTCAATAACTTCATTCGGTTTATTTCGGCTTATATTTAATCAGCTCAGTGACCTAATTTGGGTTATTTTCAAAAGAAGCATAAGGTTTATGCTTCATCCCGGATCACACAAAATGCTTGAATTCTGAGAATAGTTCAAAGCTTTTCATGACAACAATTATTTTTTCGGTGCTACGGGAAATTATTCAAAGAAACTCAATTGCCGCTTGTTAAATATTTTTTTTACTTTTCATTAGTTGCATTTGATGTGTTTCTGGACGTGTGTTCTGCAAATAGAACTTGATTCCAGACAATTTGAGTTTTTTAGTTTTGTTTGTTTTTGAAAGGTTTTAATTTTTTTTGGAATTAAACGCTTTCTTTTCCTGTCTGCTAGCTTGCACTGCTAATTTTATGTTGTATCGCAAGTGGTGCCAAGCTCCGGTTCGCCTCTTTGTAAACTGTATTGCAAAACTATCTTTCACACTCGAAAAACACTGAAATAAAAAAATTCAATTAAAAAGTATATTTCTTCAACTTTTTCTTTCGGCAATGATGAAACATTCTGTCCCATCTTTGTCTTAATTGACCTTTCTTTTTTCTGACTTGAAATACCAAAGTTTGTTTTTAAGTTAGTTGTTGTAAGTTTAAGCTAGCTGAATCTTTGCCGTTTCCGAGGCAAAGATTCAGCTTGCCTTTTTCGAGGCTTTTACATACCTTTTCGAGGCTCCGCGCTGCATAGAGTTCATTTTTTGTTATTTTGATTTGCCTTTTCGAGGCTACGCTCTGCATAGTGTTCAACTTTTTGTCTCAAGCTCTGTGTATGTAAATTAGAAATAAGGAGTCCCCATACAGTACCCCGATGTATCCCTGGTGTAGTGTTTTTCAGTGTGATACAAGGTTTTCACAATTACTATTGTGATTAATGTTGAATTCACATTTTTCACAATCAACTGTCCTTTTTTTGCTGACGCTTGCCTACGAGTGAGTTTACCATTGCAATTTCGGAAATTTATTTTTCGTTGCAAGAAGCTATGATCAAATGGAAGCGAACGCTTTGGATGAATAAAATTACGTGCAAACAACATACTTAGTATCGTTAAATGCTTTTCACAATGATTTTGTGCATATAAGACCCGTCGATTGTTTAAAAAGAAGTTCGTCTCAATTAAGTGTTTTGCCAAGCCACCGGTTAGAAATAAGACAGTCATTCATTTGCTTATGTTATAGCTTTTCAAACACTTTCGATAGTGCTCCAGTTATTGAAGGTAGTCAGAAGTTTTCTGCATTCCCTCGATCATCTTTTTTAAACCTATGTAACAAGTGCAGTTTTGA